GGGGGGGGGAGGGGGTGGCGGGGGGGGGGGGGGGGAATAGGCATGGGGGGGGAGGACGTGGGAGGAAGGTGGGATGCAGGAGAGGGAGAGGTTGCGAGGTCTGAGTGGGAGGTAGGGGGCAGAAGCAGACTGGGAGTAGGGCATCTGGCCAGGAGGGAGGGCATTGGTACAAGCTGGGACTGCAGAGTCTTGGCAGTGGGAGGAGAGTGAATGAGGGGGATTGAGATGCAGGGGTCTGGGATTGAGGGGGATGCTTACCTGGCTTTGCACCCCCATACAGCAGGGAACGCTTCTGGACAGCATGCCACTGTCCTGTCATTCCCCCAGTGGGGTGGGGAGGGAGCTCAGCCCCTCCCCCGCCACAGCAGGAAGCCCGCACAGCCCCAAGGCTGCAGCACCAGCTCCAGCTTCCTGCCAGGAGGCACAGGTGTGGGGAGAGGTTCCATGTGCTGCATTTCCCCCAGCGGGGTTGGGCGGAGTGGGGAGAGAGCGGCAGCACACGGAATGCACCAGCCAAACCCAAGCACGCTGAGCCCCGCAGTGCCCCTGCTGCACTCTGCAAGTGGACATCTGGAGATGGAAAAGGCTCTGGTGCGGCCAGGGCCCCGCACGCCGAAGGCAGTCCCACAGGGGGACAGAAGGGCCCATGTGGTGCACGGTGGTGGGGCAGGGGATGGTAGGGATTTGCCACTGGCGGCGCGCACTGCACTGGAACTGGGCAATCGGAGGTGCCCCCAAGCTGGCTACGGCTGCACATGCCACTAAAAATCGGCTTGCGTGCCACTTGTGGCATGCGTGCCGTGCACTGCCGACCCCTGGACCACATAATGCCACCAGAACCCACACTTCAGCAAGTTGTTTTCCCTATTGTGGCTCCAGCCAGATGATTCTTGATGATAGGCTTGTATTTGGTACCTGAGCAGAAAATCAGATGCGACTGTTACTTACATGAGGAAGTGGACAGCTTGGGCAGTGTTTGTAGATGTAGCCCAATTTGACGTGTATGTTTGTAAATGTTAAAAGCACATAACATTTTGGCCTTCTGACCTAACAAGACAATGGTAAGAACACAGATTTAGTTTGGGAAGCTAGCCATGCTCACATACCTGGCACCTCTTGCAAAACACGCACCCTATTGTCACTCCAACCACTCTATGATGTCTGATGCTATGGTAAGTCTTTACAGCTTGAGGTCCCTGACAAATTCAAGTACAGTAAGCAGCTACTGACTATCTGAGCATCAGGTCTTTTACTACAGACCATTCTTCCTAACAAATCACAAAGGACTAGGTCCTCAGCCGATATAACATCAGGGGAGCCGTTTCAATTGACAGCAGCTGAGGATCTGGTCCCAAATCCTTCCCTTAGGCTACGTCTACACAGCATAGTTATTTTGGAATAAGCTATTCTGGAACAGTTATTCTGAAATAGCACGTCTACACTGCAAGGAAGCCTCAAAATTAATCAGAGGCAGGCTTCCCTAATGCAGACGTGCTATCACGATTTAGAGCCCCAGGAGGAATAACTTAGAATGGCCCTGGTGAGGGGCTATTTAGAAATAGCAGGAGTGGAGCATCTACACAGCCCTTATTCCGAAATAGTTATTTCGGAATAGGTGTTATTCTTCATAGAATGAGGTTTACAGAAGTCGGAATAAGCCGTCCGTTATTTCGAAATTATTTCCCAGTAACGGAATTACTGTGTAGACGCTCACAGTTATTTCAGAACAGCCGTTATTGCAAAATAACTTTGCTGTGTAAACAAACCCTCACTGACTAGCTAGCGCAATAGGAAAGAGGGGGGGATGGTATTTTATTTTCACTTGGCCATTTTTTTAAAAGGAAATAGAAAACCATGGATAAAAAGAGCAGCAAATCTTCATCAGCCACATGAAGGCAACGAAAAAGGAAATCAGCTCTGACATGTTGGGGTCAAAATCTTTTGCATGTTCCCAATGCCAATATTATTGTCGTCACAGAACTCTGATGAACGATGGCCTGACCTCCGTGGCAGTAATGTCATTGAAAAGGCACCAGGAAGACTTTTGCGGCAGATCAGCATTACGCTCATCTTCCTCCCCTATGTGGCTCATTACAGATACATTTTGACAGCTGTTCTATATAAACCTATTAACAGATTAGGTTGCCACACTTGTGAAACAGCCGTGTGTTAGCATCAAAACAGTTCTGAGAGAAACAGACAAAAGCCCTTAAAATGCATCTGTGGTATGTGTTTGAAGCAAGGGCATCATTTGCAAGAGGCAAGTGCTCCCAACCCGAAGTGCGCAGCTTAAAGCAGCAAAATCTTTTCTACCGCCTGCAACCCAGCTAAATATCCCCAGAGCTCCTGAACCTGCTTATTTTCTACCTGCTGTCTACCCTCCAGTGGCAAAGCTAATGCACCCCAGGCAGCTTTGATCCTGTCTATTACAGCTGGAGTAGCACTCAAACTCTTCTGAGTTGTGTCAGGGCTATTGCACGCAGGCAAGACATAAAGACAGGCTCAAGCTCCCTCCGGATACGAGATATGGACCCCAATAGAAGCGAGGATGGGAAGCAATTTTATCTGGAGAGAAGGGGGTAGGGAGGGCAGGTCAGACAATGACTATGTGTCTACCCAGGTGGGAGGGCTAATTATTCCAGACACGGGCTTCATCATGAGCCTCTTACAGCTGGATAATTTCCATCCTTTCAGTCCTTATGTATTTCATGGTGTTATCCGATGGGGTTCGTGGTATTACCAACGGCTGCGCAAGTGTGCTATA